CTCTCTCTCTCTCTCTCTCTCTCTCTCTCTCTCTCTCTCTCTCTCTCTCTCTCTCTCTCTCTCTCTCTCTCTCTCTCTCTCTCTCTCTCTCTCTCTCTCTCTCTCTCTCTCTCTCTCTCTCTCTCTCTCTCTCTCTCTCTTTCGATTGTTCCTCTTTGTACTGGTTAATGGTCACGTAACTGAATAAATATATATCATTGTGGTAGTCATCGTTTTATTTCAGGAGCCATCGTATGCTATCTATAAATCTATAAAATGTGAGAGAGAAAACAAGAGGCGATATTATGACGTCAATGAATTCTCACCATCGCCATCGCTTATATTATATATGTAGTAATAATAACCTTCGTCTTTAGATCGTATAACTAGATATTTCACCTGGCGGGTAAAACATGAAATTTGCATAAGGGGGCGTGGCTCCATAAGCGCAATGAAAACGTGCGGGTTCATAACACTGATCTATATATAATAACGTTAGTATAGGTAAATAGGTAAATATATATATATATATATGCTATATTATGACACAGATATATACTGTATGCTATGTACCATCAAGAGCTAATAATGCTGATAATATAGGTATTATATCAGCTCTTGATATATATATATGTATTTAGTTATTTATTTATATATAATGTTGTTATATAGAAATCAGTGGTTTATTACTGATCACAGAGAACCGCGGCGCCATATTGTACTAGCTGAGAAGAGTTAGCGACTCGACCGGTGGCTCCAGCGAAAGATATATATAAATATAATATACTGCAGAAGTAACGGGGCATTCGAACGCAATATTCAATGATTATATGTCCATTAGTTTCAGTGGGCGCGACGATTGCGGCATTTAAGCTTTATTTTCATTGACTCGCGAGAGACGCATAGCTCAACTGTAGTTGTCTCAAGAGCCAGTATTCATATCAATATATAATTATCTGAAATTAATCGGTATAGGCCTACTACTTCATTACAGTCGTCGTGTATAGATATAGCTAGCGGTGTACAAAAATCTGCTTAGCTTTACATATTGGCTCGTCTATTGTATAGATTATCACGTGATCCTCGTAGGGATGGTCACGCGAGTACTGTATAGTTTAACACGTGATCGTTGTATAGATTATCACGTGACTATATGAGTTAGCGACATCCGCATTAATAGCGGACATACGATAAACTTTTTTGAGATGATATACTGTTAAATCGTAATTCGGAGACTTATTGTTAAAATAAAGTTTTCTATTATTACCGCCTCTAACACTTGCACTGTTGTGAATTTGTTAATTTTTATACGCAACTGAAAATGCACAGACTGACATAACATTAATAACATTTCAATTACACCAAAATGTGTCCTACATAATATTATATACACATGCAGACCTATGCCCTGCCTTTATCAAACGAACGATCGAAATGCTATATTCTTGAAATCGTACTTTTAAAGTACATATGTATAAGTAACCCGAAATGAAAATTGCTATTCAGATTTGTTATTTTCATATAGCCATGAGGTTCCATCTAGTCGTACGAAATATCCTTGTAACATAACGAGAAACATTTTTTTCGAATAATCAGTATCTGCCATTTAAATTCGCATTTTGTGGAAATTATACTTTTAAAACAGAGAGCGCGTATATTCCTCGAGGTAGCTTGCTATTAAAAATAGGGCAGGACCTCTTACGGTGTGTTTGTTTGTGTGTGTGTGTGTGTTTGTGTGTGTGTGTGTGTGTGTGTGTGTGTGTGTGTGTGTGTGTGTGTGGTGTATGTTGTTGTGGTAGTTGTGGTGTGTGTGTGGCTGTGTGTGTGTGTGTGTGTGTGTGTGTGTGTGTGTTGTGTGTGTGTTGCGCGGCGCAGCTCGTAGGTGTGGGGTGGTGTATGTGTGTGTGTGTGTGTGTGTGTGTGGTGTGTGGTGTGTGTGTGGTGTGTGTGTGTGTGTGTGTGTGCACGCGCGCGTGTGTCGTAGATATCTATATGATCCAGCCTTTATCAAATTAATGAAATTGTATATTCTTAAAATAAAGGGAGCGAGGGTATTAATTGCAGAATAATATATAGTTATTTAAGATTATTCCAATTTTTTATCCTATAAAGTGTTGACGGTGTTTTTCGAAAATCTAAAAAGGGGCAATATAAATAAATAAAATAATAAAAATAATATTAATAAAATCTATGGGGCTGCTGCTTCCAATTAATTTCCCTCTCAGAAGATGCAGCCTTCCTACTCCGGTATCCCGCAGAAATTTAGTGTTCTTCTGTAATGATACCAGAACACATATATACTCGATCATACTTATATTTGTATGCAAAATGTCTAAGCGAATGTAATGACGTTATAACGTGTACAGTCTTCCTAAAATATTCTATGCAAGCCGTGGAATAGTTTATAATTTCAGATATTTGTGCACACGATCAGCATCTGCTTGTATTTTTTTATAAATTATGCGCAAAGAGCAAATAAAGAAACACGATTAAAGTAGAGAGCACATACTCACGAGTAGTTTGAGTAGGAAGAGGCCCGGGAGTGGTTAATGAGGAGGCGCCGGGGTAGGTGGAAGGAATATGAGAAGGGGGAGAAGGAGGGGGAAGAGGAGGAGGAGGAGGATCGAGGATGAGAAGAAGGGGGGAGAGGGAGGAGGAGGAGGAGGAGGAGGAGGATGAGAAAAAGGGGGAGGAGGGCTGGGAGGAGGACAAGGAAAGGTGCGAAAGAAAATAAGAAGGAGTATATTGTGGCATAATTAAGGTCAGGTCCAAAATTCATTGGAATAAATCCCCAGTGTAAATGGTCCGTCGGTCCAAAAATGCCCCCAGGCCACACAACTCCAGTGACGACACGGAAACTAAAACAGCAAACTGCATAGCAGTGCCCCTTCGTCACTGATCTCTACTATACTAACTATATATATAACTATATGTTAGTATAGTAGAGATCAGTGCCCTTCGTACACTAAACGAAGCGAGAGCGAGAACGCCATCTGTCGTGGAGTTTGCTAAAACAGTAGCAGATGCAGCGAGGCGGTGAGAAGTAAACATGCTACTGCAGCCCACGCTCTATTTATAATTATGCGGGATGAGTTCGAGAGAAAATGATGACTTTAGCAAATTCTTGGATGAGTTATCGGAGTCTCTGCACCGTGACCGTTCTCTTTCGTTTCGACTCAGTACCAGCGAAGTTACAGAGGAGGAAATCGAAGGGGAGACCATAAGCTGTGTGTTTGAATATCTACTTCTAAGGTACAGTCGTATAGTGTACATGTACATGTACTGATGTAGCCCGCACAGACTCTACGACTGTTTCACGTAGTAGGACTGTTTCACTTCTCGCCATGTATAGTGAGAAGCGAGGAGAAAACTTACATCGCCAATGTACATGTACATGTACATCTAATGCGTATGCGTGTAAAGTTCTAAAACTATTCATACATCATATTACATTCATGATGTACTGCTCCCGATAATAATCCCCATAAAAATCCAGTTAGATTATAATGAAGATAATAAGTGAATATATAGAGATAGAGATAAATCTGTGCATCACCTCGTGATACCTAAGGTGCCTAAAGTGGATTTGCACCGATAGGTAGTATTACTATTAGGTACCTGCACATATAAATCGACAGAGGTATAGACAGAGACAGGTCTAACGATTGACTGACCAGACACCGGCCCACCACAGATATTGGATAGCCATAGGAGACCCACACATGTTTATATGTACATGACAGCAATATGATTTTATCCTTACAGGGATTGCCCATCATGTCTAACTGCAGCGCTTGCGAGGAAAACAGCAGATGGCGTACTATCGTCCGACATCAGCGGCTTCTACGACATGGAGCAGTCAGAAAGTGGCGCCCCCTGTAAGTGTTGCGTTATCGTTACCATGTTGGTAATTTAATCGAACGAGGGCTGCTTTGCTGGCAAACTATGTCATCTGGTACAGGATCCGTATTTTACATATTTATTCTACCCAGATAAAGAAAAGTAGGGGATCGTGTACTGCTGTATTGACAAGTATATAATAAGTAATATATATAGACAAGTATAGGCATACACCGTTAAAACGTACCCAATGAAAATTGTTAATAGTTGAGCGATTACTCTTGTTCGTTTCCAGTACTCTCGGCTCGCAAACTGGCGCGAGCGATCTTTCGTCATCTGAGAGCGAGCTGCGACGCAGTAAGAGAGGATCTGCCGGGACTCTCCGTCGTCGACGGCCTTGCCTTCTCGATTCACACCATTAAGAACACGCGGCTTTCCATGGAGGACCGCCACGTCACTCTTACACCCTTCAATGCACTGTTCGGACTGCCAGTAAGCTGTCCTAATATGCCCACAAATAGCACGTAGACAGATAGGGGGCCTACACTAATGCATTACGAATACATACATGTATTCTTAATGCATTCGTAATACATGTATTTCCAATGGAATCTGCATCTCACGCAAGCATTACGATACATTACCGGCTAATTGTGTCAGGAGCTGTGTGCAAGCAAGAAAACAACCACCACGTTTCGCTTACAAACTGCATGGAATCGGCAGCAACATCACTGTAAAACCTGCTTGAGTATATTAGGCATGAATGACTATGCAAACGTACAAGTGTGTTTGATAAAGTGTTGCTCATCAGAACACTGGAGCAGAATCTGCAGGTTATAGTCATTTACACGCATTCGTTGACTGTTGGCACAGAAGAACAAAAGTTTCAAAGTATAAAAGTACTAGCTATATAATGTATATACCACTATTATGTATAACTATAAATATTACGAGTATCTCGTTCATGTAAACAAGCGACATCATTGCAATTTACGCATCATAATTAATTAATAATAATGATTTATGATAATTAATAAGCAATTATCATTTCTATTAAGCAGGATGTGCCGTCGCAGTCATTCTTCGCGATCTACGATGGACATGGAGGAGTAGAGGCTGCCAGGTATGCAGCCACCCACCTCCACGTCAACATCGTGCGAAACCCTCACTTCCGCGACGACGTCGGGCTGGCGCTCAGAGAGGCATTCCAGCAGACGGACGATTCGTACTGCGCAAGATCTCGCCGTGAGGTGAGGCGGAAGGAAAGAGAGTCGAATTACGTCGAATTACATTGTACAAATGAATGTGACGCGCGCACGAATGAAGTCAAGTTTACATTGGTTAAGATGGCTCTACCGGTGTAGCCCCTTCGCTCCCTCTACAGGGGAATTATAGCAGGAGTGCGGCTCCTGTAGCGGGAGCGAAGGGGCTACACCGATAGAGCTGTGGTTAAGATACATCAGCTACTCTGTGAAAGTTTCTGTTTCCTCAGTCAGTGTGTCAGTCTGTCAGTTATTGTCTCTGCCCATGTAGCACAGCCAAGTCGACTTGGTCTCGATCTAGAAAACGGTCGAATGTAAACTCTTTTACAGTTTTCTCAGTTGAATGTTTTTTTAATCCTCAAGTGTACACTCAGTTGATGAGTAATCTGCTGATATGCTTAGAAATGTCATCTCAGTCGGTTTTTTCACTTCCCCTGCTGTGGGAACACTAGTGATTCCCACCGACATACCCTTTAGCTCTTGGAGAGTGTTGAAGTCATAGAAATATATAGAGACAGTCTATCTACATTATTTCTATGGTTGAAGTGAATGTGTTGCTTGCAGGGGCACAGGAGCGGCACAACGGCCATCGTGGCGATGGTGTGCATGAGCGCGCTTCACATCGCCTGGTGCGGCGACTCTCAGCTCATCCTAGTCCGTGACAACTCGCGCCCGGTATCTGTGATAAACCCGCACCGACCCGACCGCACAGTACGTACGCTCATCACGAAGCTAGTCAGCGGGGAAAAAACTCGCCGTTTCATATTATATTTTACTCATATATTATAAATTTATGTATATGTTATTATTTTATTTATTATGTTATGTTGCGAGCAATGTCGAGTCTAGCGTTTTTGCAGTAACTTTTTTCGTTGATAATGTCTTGACACTGATGAAGTGTGTTGTTATAACATTGTATCGGTTACAGGACGAGAGGAGACGAATAGAAAGTGCAGGCGGAGATGTCAAGTGGTTCGGTACATGGAGAGTAGACGGCCTCCTCTCCGTGTCTCGCGCTATAGGTAACGTCAAGAGCTAACACCTAATAGCTAAATAATAATAATAATAATAATAATAATAGCTAATACCTAATGATCTAATAGGTATTATTAGCTCTAGGTAACGTGTAGCACCTCCTGCAAACTGTCACTTCTCCAACACATCTCCTACCTATCTATATATCTATCATCCTGTCTATCTATCTATCGTCCTACCTACCTACCTACCTATCTATCTATCTACACTACCATCCTACTATCCTCTAGCACATCGCATAAGGTGGGGCAGCTATTTAACTTTTCTTTTAGAGTAGTAGCAATCTGCACGTAGTTTAGTGATGCCTTTGTATGATCGACTCCCTACGCAAGTTGACACGCCTGCTTTCCGCTTCTCTTCTGCTAGGCAATCAGTTGATGGAATGTAGCTGGGATAGTCTAGGAGGGAGGAAACCCTACTTATTAATAGCACGGGATGCCCAGGCTTTAATCTCTAGCAGGCTACTGTGTTTGCAAGCTTTCCACAACGTGTGGTCGAGTAAAAACAACCGAAGAGCCAAGTTCGTTCCGCAAACTTTATTTATAAATTTTGTCGATAGAAAACGCGAGACAGAGACAAATAGGCCGACATGATGTGAGCAAGTATTTACAGCGAGGATAAGTGTCAAGTGAACAGTACAGGCGCAAAGGGTACCGATTATCGAACATAATTAGTCAACACGTACGTATGCGGGGAATTACACACAATGGACTTACAATGAAATTACAATGATCAATGTTAATAACACCCACCCACTCGGGTACATATTGAGAATTCCATTAGATTCTCTGCTTAGGCATATAACAAGCAAATTCTAACTTATGAGTTTAGATGGCCTCAGTGAGTTACTCTCATTGCAGTGGCAGTTGCAGGCTTTCCAAGGACTGCCTGTCTCCATCCATCTACTTGGTGCCACGAAGAGAACTCGATGGACTATCATAGTTATGCCATCAGGCAAATCTAAGCAGCATCTGCTGCATTCTTCTGTACATTGCCTGTTACAGAGAGGGTTATAAGGGATTATATGGGACGCGAACGCATTTCGCAGATGCATGCGTCATACAAGTTGTTGCTAGAGAGGTTGCACATGGTTGGTTATACAAACTCCCCCACAGCTCCGCCCTGCACAACACATGCATGCACGCACGCACGCATGCACGCACAAGCTCAGACGAATGCACACACCCACACGCACGCATGCACACGCACACACGCACGCACACACCCACACAAATACACACTCACGCGCGCACATGCACATGCACGCACACACGCGCCCACGCACACACACACACACGCACAGACACGCACACGCACGCACATACACACTCACAGCTCCAGCGTCAGCTTGCCCTCGTTCTCGACGAAGAACAGCAGATCGCTGAGCGTCTGCTGAGCGATCGTCTCTGTCGCGCACTCGCTCACGGGCCGGTACCTCACCCCGTCGCGCGGCGGACAGCGGAACGACGGCCCGAAGTTGACTGTCACCGTGCAGCCGCGGTACAGCGACACCGCCGGGTAGTAGCAGCCCGCGTGCACGTCGACGAACGCCGTGCCCTGGCAGCGTCCGTTCTTGTAGAAGACGACGCGGCTTCCTCGCGCCGGACGCAGCGACTTGAGCACCTGCTGCGTCTCCAGCTGGTCCTCGTAGTAGAGGTAGTTCTTGAACTTGACGAGCGGCTTGTCCTTGACGGTGTCCGGGACGAGCGCGGAGGGGTCGCGAAGCTCGGGCAGGTAGATGTAGCAGCCTAGCACGTCACCCTCGCCGTACGCAGCGCTGTAGTGCCGGCCGCGGCTGTTGTGGAACCTGTACAGACACGTGCAGTAGATATGTGTGTGTATGTGTGTGTGTGTGTGCGTGCGTGCGTGCGTGCGTGCGTGCGTGCGTGCGTGCGTGCGTGCGTGCGTGCGTATATATATACATATGTGCGTGTGTGTGAGACGATATAACCTGTACACAGAAAGGTGAACAAAGATGAAGAGAGAGCGAGAAATATATAGGTCTCGAATGGGAAATTACTAGAGATGGAAGTTGTGTATATATATATATCTATATCTATATATACAAAATATACTATTACATAGAAGACCTGTGATCACTCGCACTATTACTGGAGAGATGGAAGTTGTGTGTATATATATATATTATCACATAGAAGACCCGCGATCGCTCGCGTGCTCACCTCGTGCCCTTGCGTGATCGCCACGAGTAGCTGAACTTGTCGTAGCCGCACGGAGCCTGCAGGTTCTCGTACGCCTGCGCCCAGCCGACGCGGCACGCAGTCTCCGGCGGCATGTCGTCCACTGTGAACTCGTAGTACCAGCCGCCGCTGCGCACGCAGTGCGACGCGCGGATCAGGCAGTAGCCCTTCTCACCTGCGGGGAGAAACGAGACCCAGGTAACCCTTTTCACCTGCCGGGCAAAATGAGACCCAGGTAACCACGCGCGTGTGAGGTGTGCCCTCGTGAACGCTGGATCGGTTTGAGCTCACCCCCGGTCTACGCTGGTCTTACGACGCCGTGCGTTAATGTTGGTCTCACGCGAAAAATTTCGACGTTGAATGCCACACACAGTGTTGCTAGGCATTGCTTTTTAGAAACGCCCCGTTGCGACACCGATTGGCTAGACGCGACCGGCAGATTCGACGTGCGCGTTTAACGAGACGAACAAAGGTACGTTACCTGTGACGGTCATGCGGTCGTCGCTGAGCTTGAGCTGGGCCGCGCGGTCGTTGGGCGCTAGGATGACGCGAGGCAGCACAGCGCCGCGGTAGAAGTAGCTGGGGATCGGCCGGCCCGCGCACTCCTGGCTGTCATCAAACTCCTGCCGGTTGGGTGCGTGCGGGTCGGCGTCCGCGAGAATATATCTGCAACGCGCAAGCGTCGCACGTGGTCACGGACCCGGTGACAGAGATGTGACGATGGAGACACGATGATGGGATGAGGGGTCAAGATATATCTGCAAGCCGCAAGTCGGCATGGGGTCACAGAAGCGGTCACAGACCCGGTGACAGAGACATGGCGACAGAGATGTGACGATGGAGACACAATGATGGGACAAGATATATCTGCAAGCCGCAAGTCTGCATGGGGTCACAGAGACGCGGTCACAGACCCGGTGACAGAGAGACATGGTGACAGAGATGCTCAGCTGTCTCCAAGTATTTTATTCTGGAAACTGAAATTACAGTTCCAAGTATTCCTACGACATTCTGGTGGAAATTTCCAGCACACCACCAGCAGCCCGTGCGAAGTCTACGTCTACTATGCAGACGGATAAATTCTCTGCTGCAGTCACCAGGTGGAGCTCAACTCCCTCACCCAGGGGGCGCTTGACTGTCGCCAGGGGGCGCTCACCTGTATCCGTCCTTGTTGAACGGATGCTCGGTCGGGTAGCCGTGCGCTGGAAGCTTCGCTGCCGGCTCGCTGCGCGTCTTGCGCGTCGTTGCCACGGCAACTCCCTCGCCGACGGTCGTGCGGCGTCTGCACGCGCCGGCGCCGCCCCCGCCCTGCTGCATGCGAGGCAGGAACGCGTCATAGTTGGGGCCGACCTTGAAGATAATATATTATATATATATATATATATATA